AGCGTTAACCGGAAAGTTCTGCCTTGGAATGCGATTGGGCTGTTATTTGTTTCCTTTACATAGCTTTGCCCACGAATCATTTCTCTAAAGAAGGTTCTACTACTATTGAAAATAAAACAATAGGGAAAAATCAGTCACTAAGGCATTGATCCAATTGCAACATAAGCCAATTAAGTCAAGGTTTCAAGCTCACCTACTCGCCTAACGCGTTTAAGTGTCAAGAAAGCATAATATGTATGTACTAGAAGAAGTGACTTCTTGCACCATTGTTTTCAAGGCAAGTTCTCATTCCCTCTACCAATTATTTCAAATCTATTATCCCAATTCCCATTTTTTTCTTCATGTTCAATTTATCTATAAATACTTGCTAATAAGCCCCACATTTCTCATATCATTCTTCACTCCCTTAAGGACTTGAAAATTTTTTTCTCAAGCTTTTGAGTTGGTAATTAGCATCAACAAAAATGGAACAGAAGAGCCAATCCCCATATCCATTGGCACCCGGTAATTAGCTTCCCAAAGTGACCGCAGAAGTCTGTCGCGGTCAGTCAAAGTGGGTTGGGGGGGTTGGGTAAGGAAAAAGAAGAGAATGAAGTGCTGTTTGTAATATTGTATTGTTTGCTTGTCAGCTGGAATTATATTGCTTTGCCTTGACGTCATGCGTAATCAGGAACAAAGTTTCGAACGCGATCAGTCATTTGTTGACACATTGATGTTGGAACCGAAGCTTCCCTACCTTTAATTTGCGAAATGAAATACTTCATTCACGGTAAAAAATACAAACTGTTGGTCACTTTAAAGGTAACGGAAGCTTGGTGAAAGTCAGTTTGCATACAGGGCACACGGTTGGCCAGGCGCTATTCAGAAGCTTCGAGCCAGAGGCTAGATCGACGAAAAAGTTGATGTTATATGTATTTGAGGTCGAGAGTTTGTCAAAAACTAATGAATTGGAAGTGATATTAGCTTGGGGGTTCTACCCCTGGCCAGCTACTCAAAGTTGGAAGGTAAGATTCATCTGATGAAGGTGATCAAGAAGAAGAAGTCTGCCCAAATGAATTGTACCATGGAAATTGACATTGGCCATCGAAAACACTTGGAAATATTCTATGCCACTGATATGCTAGCTGCCTTGTTTTAGGTTATGGATTTGATTTTTTGCCCTAGGGATTTGTTTCTTTTTTTACTTGATTTCTGTCTTAGTGTTTTCTTTGATTTTTTTTTATTATTATGTTTGATCCAGGGGGACATATATGCATGTTGATATGGTAGTCCTCGTCTCGCAGTGCCTGTTCTTATTTTCTTGTTTTTATTTATTTACCAAATGGGTTTTCATGAGAAATTATATTTTAAGAATCCTTTATTGGAGTCAATTTAATATTTAAATTGCTTATAAAAACCTTATTTTATTTTATCTTTGATGCAAGACATCGTGACTGATTAATATTCCGTTGCTCAAATTTACTAAAGAATTGCTGTTATATATATATATATATAAAGTTGGCTATCGATCATTTGTACTAATATTTACTTTTGTTTTGGAAGTAAAAAAGAAAAATGGAGAAATGCTCTGCATAGAGTTTGTTGCAAAGCCTGGTTTTGAGTTAACTAATGGGCCTAGTCCATTCCACCTAATGGTAATCTCGCCTGTTCTCGGCAATTGTTTGGCCCAAAAAAACGAAAAGGGTACAAAAAAAAAAGTCACAATTTTGTGATCACAACCCAACAAAGGACAAATCCAGTGAACTCAAGCAAATTGCTCAAGTTTCCGGAGGATGTAATGTTTCCTAACAATAAGAATCCTAATGTTGGGAAAATGGGTCCATCAGCATCCCAAATTTCCAACATCTATGGTGGCCTAATGCAACTGCTGCTAAACGGCACCTAAAATGTTAAGTCAAGATCCAAGAGCAGAAAGAGACGTATGATCAGCAGAAGAAACAAGGCAAATTCTTTTGTTGTGCCGCTTCTCTGTTTGTGTAGCGTTGTCTTCCACTTTTCCTCTCTTTGGAAGAATGATATAAGTTGCAAGTTGCAAGAGCAGAGAGAGAGATGGTTTGTTGACGACCTTAACTCCATCTAATGAAAAATCCAGATTTCAGGTTCAGTCCTGAAAAGTTGAAGTGGAGTAAAAGCCTTTTTCAAAAATCCTAATCACTGTTCTCTTTTTCATTTTACTTTTTCTTGGTGGAGAAAAAACAAAGAAACATGATGTGAAGGATTTGATACATAAATCCCTTGAAGAACATTACTCTCCTCGTGTTTGTGACCTATAAGCTAGACAAATGCTATCAAATCGGATTGAAGATGTGCATTGGTCAAGTTGAAACTAAATTTTGAGAGGAAAGGTAAAACTTTGAGGTCAAAATCGTGTCACTCCTAGTTTGCTCCAGGCCTGAGGGATGAACAATGCAATTTGCAGATTTACTTGCTTTAGATTTCCTTAAGCGCTGGTGACATACTTATCTATTGAATTCCTCAAATATATCCAGTGGCACTCCATCAAGGAAATAATACACTTGAATAGTTGAACTACAAGAATCTACATCAAATATAAAAAGTTGAAGGCAATTGAATAGGTCATAAGCTGGAACAGAAAAGGTTCGACCATCTTTAATTCAAGTGATGTCCATTAATAATGGGTCTTGGCTTGTTGTTGGTCTTGACTGTGTGAAGTAGAGACCGGCACTATTTGCCCTGCCGTAAGGGGGACCAAGCTATTTTGTGGTGCACTGTAGACCGTGGAGTCTGGAAACGAGGGGTGGGCGCTTTTGTTTTTGCGGTCATTTTGGCTTTCCCTGTCATTATGATGGTGTGGTTTGAAAATTTTGGTTTACTAGTTGCTGCAAACAAAGATGTTGTTCCTCGATTCATTTATTGAAATTTCAAACTCCACGGATTCACATACCCGATTCATTATGTCTCTAGTTTGGAAGTCGCATTGCGAAATATCATGCTATAGATTTTTGTTCCTTTTTCTTGTCTCTAATTACCTTTCTTTGCAATTGAAAAATGAAGTGTATATAGTTACAAAATCCTACTGGTCATTTTCCATTACTAGATGAGCTATAGCAGTAAGGAGAAGCATTACTTTTTATACTTTATGGGTCTCAGTTCCTTGTCATTAAGTATAGTCTACGGCTCTTTTTTTTGGATACAAGCCTAGAGTCTCCCTTTTACATATAATGTTCATCGATTGTGAGATATTAAATTCAAGAATACAATATTGAAAGTGCAAAACAAACAACTCGACTTTTACTAGATACCCAACAAAGGAAACGGGTAGATCGGCCAACTACTAAATGGACAATTTGAATCATAGATGAGAAATGAATTATTGTTTTGAGTGAGGACCCAGTTGTGTTGTGAGCGTTGGATAAGAAAATTCAGAATATAGACAAAGAACTTGTGGGAAACAATTGTCCATGGTATGATCACCATGGCATACTTTCTGAGGAACCATATCAACAAGTATATCAGATCTGAATAGACCATGGATACAGTGGACTAAGGCATAAAACTTTCAACTTCAATGGTACAGGAATATATGAGAGTATACAGGATGGATAGCGAGAGGGAGAGTCGGAGCTCGGAGCATGTGTTTCAATTGCTTAAGCCTTTTTTTTTTTTTAACTTTTGAATGAAATGAAATTAGACTTTAACCATAACCAAGTGAAACTGCTTTCTTACGATACCGTTCAAAAGTGTTTTTTAAAGCAGGATGAAACTGCAGAGATATCATCATGTGGCCCTTTCATTTTTTGGTAGTGTTTAAAACAAAAAACCAAATTTTTTTTAGAAGTATCTATGGCTTCGCTTTCCTGTTCAAACTTGCATTAGTCATTCTCTTTATTGTTTGGTTTGTTTTTCTACTGCAATTTCATGGGTGTGAAACTGTTAATCGATGATGTTAAAACATGGAAAGATTTGAAGAAGCAAAATTATTTATATATTGTAAAAATGCAGTGACCATCTCACTAGTTAATATTCCCATTGCATCCTTGTCCAACTTCTTCCCTTTCCCAGTTTCCCATCAAATTCCCACCAGAAACTACCAGTTGTCCTGAAAAAAGGCATAATCACCCAAGAAAATGAAAGAATAAAGTGGAGAAAACTGTTAAGTCATTTCAACTCCTTCAATTCCAGAATGATCACATCTTTGATATGAACAGCTTACCTTTCAAAGGTAACATAATGCTTAACTGCAGAAATACAAGACCATACACAGTCACCACAACAAAAAGAAATCCAAATATAAAGGTTACTTTCAATTTCTTCATAATGACCCATCACCTTAACATGTGAACCTACTCTATTCAACTGCTCAGCACAGCTAACAATCAAACAACAATCCTAGCCTCTCTAAATTCTTTTCTTTTTCTTTTCCCTTCATTTTTTTAACGTCGTCATAATAAAAATCAAGGTCTCTGTCCAATATTTTCTTTCTATTGCTTTAATTAACAACATTTTTTCCCGAGATTTCTAGTACTTCGTCAGGTGCTGAAGACAGTTCCTTCTTCAATAGATATTCTTGCGGAATCCATCAGTTTCTCGTATGAGGAATTGCTTGTAACTCGTGACAAAAGAGAAGAATCTGAGGAAAATAAACAGTTTAATTAGTACTTAAGAAGTAGATTTAAGGTTTTAACACTCTAATAATAATTAGTGCAAATACTATTACTTAGAGACAGTGTGAAACTACACCTGTAGAAGATGCATTGCTTAGCTTCTCTTGTGAAGAATCACTTGTACATCTCGACAACCAAGAAGATTCTGCTATCAAAACAAGAAACACAAGCTAAGCATCGAATTCCAAATTAAACAAAACAAAATTAATTACTATAATTAATACCTCTATTTGAATTGAAAGATTTCTTGCAATGCAAAATGGCGCTTTGGATCCCATCATGTTGCAGTAGCAGCGTATCATCTCTCCTATTAATTGGTGATGAGGCAGCCGAGGCTGATCTGCTCTTTCCCAAGTGCTTGCAAACCCCTTTAACCCCTGTTGAAAGATTCCCCTGTTTCTCCTTCATGGAATATACCGTTGATGGAGAAGCCACCGGGGATAACATTGATAAGGCGCCTGAGACTTTTGTCTTGTCACTTTGACTATTCTTTTTGGAGACTTTCACATACAATGGCTTGATTAAATTCAGGTATTTCTGTATCAGATCTTTCGATAATCTCTTTGAGGAATCATCTGAAAACGAATCCTCTGTTTTGCCTTTTGTTTTCCGCAACCTATTTTCACTGGTGAAGATTGGGAGGTTTGAAGACTCCTCTGTTTTGAATTTCACTTTGAAATGTTCGCTCTTGCCTTGTTTTTCATGCTTTGGGGTCTCCATAGAAATACCGAGGAACTCTGTTTTCTCTGCTGTGTATGTATTACAGGTATTTGCCATTGACTCTGACTTCTTAAGAGTAAAGAGTCGAAACTTTGGAGCAGATTTTAACAGAGCTATGAGAGATTGAGGCTTGGAGCTTGGCTCAATGGGAATGATCTTTCTTTTGGAGAAGTGATCATTCGGAGACAAAGAACGAGTGTGCTGTGGCAAGTCGAGCTCTTTATCACCAACATTCTTAGCCGGTTTGTGGAATGCTCGCTCTTTCTTGGAGTTGAATCTTTTCTTGCCTTTGACACCGTTCTCTTCATGGCTGTTGCCGTGGGCATTTCCCTTGTCGTCAAACTCATGCATAGGAAGCTCCAAGTCAATGAAAGAGTCCTCTCCTTCATCCAACTCATGATCTGAAACAATCAAAGACTTTGGAATCTCCGTGGTGCCACTGTTTTCACAACAAGGTTGGTTTTGGTTCTCTTTGTGAGCACCATAGCTATGTTTCCAAAATCTGAGAAAATTGAGACCTTCCATGGTAATGGAAAGAGAGAGAAACAAAGAATGTAATAGAGTTGTGTATTTTTTAGAGTTCTGTTTAGTGGGGTTCTAATTTTTTTCTTTAATAGGCGAAGTAGTTCAGCTCTCTCTCGAGTAAACAAAAAACGCTAAAAAAAGGAGACCCTTTGCACTCCGTTTTGTGGGTGGGACGAGAGAAATTGAAAATGGTGAATCATGGTACCCATAGAGTCCAGAGAAAGAAAGGGATAGCTTTGCTTTTGAACAGTATTTATTTGCAGGTTTGGTTGTTTTCACCTGCAAAAGAAAGGAATTGTTTGCGTGGATACAGAGGAAGAGCAAGTGACCGACCCCGTGAGAGTGAGCAAGAGAAAGACAAATCTTTGCAAATGATGCAATTACTCTGTAAAAAGTTTATAGTTTTACTATTCTTTTAGATTACGATACCGAGAAAACTCAGATCTACTGTTACAAATTCAGACTTGCAGGCATTGGGAATCAGCCTTTTTTACTCCCTCTAGACTTCTCAGCAAATTTTGAATCCTGGATTTACATTTGCCCCACGCGCAGTCTCCATCACCACTGTTCTTAATTATATTTGTTAGTTTTTTAGTACTGTTCTCAGTTTCGTTCCTTATCTTTTCCCTTTACTTTCATCCAGTATCGGGTTTAACTTTGGACGGTACTTTTGCCTTGGACATGACCAAAATCAGGCTGCTGCTACTTTTGGTTTTTAATTTCTCAATCAATTGTGTTCGGACGATGAATTATTTTATTTACATTATATTATCAATCCCATTAGCCATTATCATTTTTGTAACGATAAAAGACTTCATTTGCATGCATGATAAGATTAAAAAAAAAAAAAAAGAGATTAATTAATGAAATAATAAAATTAAATATTATAGTGATAAAATTAAAATTACTGATAAAATATGTATTTGGATATAAAAATAAGTATTATAAAATTAAATATAATAAAATAATAAAATATAAATTAAATTTTGATATAATAAATTTATTTAATATCTATGATGTTAAAAAATAATTAAAATTATTTTTATAATAATAAGTTTATTAATAAATAAATAATTAAAATTATTTTTATAATATTACATTTGTTATAAATAATTGAATACAACCCATAAGCCTACTAGCATTGGGGTTTTATAATTAGAAGCATTTAAAAAAAATACATTAAATTAAAGAGGATAAAAGTGTTCAGTTTGCCTATGGTGAATTTTAGAGCCTTTGGTGTGGATTAAAAGATTTAATCTCACCATTCCTATGTTAGTCAAACATTATTTCACGGTGAGATTGGCATGAAAGGGAGCTCAAACGTATTGAATTGACAATTTAGTTCTATCCAAGTGGAATCTAAGGATTATTAAGATGGATGAAAAAATTAATTTTGATAAAATTAAAAATAATGATAACAGTGAAATTATGTTACATTGAGTATGATAAAAATAAAATTAAAATCAACAATAAAAAAATATATTTGAATGTAAAACTAATAATAAAATATTTCTTTTTTACAAGGGCAGTCGTTTATCCTAAAGTTCAATTATTCACTAAATCATTTGCCCTCTAATATGTGATGGGAGGATAATAAAAATAATTGCATCGCCAAAATGCTATTCAAATGCATTTTCGATTCAATAAAATCTTAAAATAAGGTTGAATTTTCCAGGAAAACAAATCGTGTCCTAAAATTTCAAATAACAAATTGTGGATGATATTGCGAGCATTTTGGTGCACGGCTTTGTAGTCAACTCAATGTTTCTAAAATGTTGGAGTATTGTCGGAAATGAGACATAGCCATCCCTATTTTATTCAAAGTCTAAGTCAGCTAAAATTGTTTGACTTATGGTTGGTTCCTGATTCATCAATTTCCAGCTTCCAGGGTCCTATTCAACGATTAAGAAGTAACTAAACCCCTAAAAACCGTTGGACTGCCTGTGTCTTCCATACATTACTAAAACATCAAACTTATATAATAATCCTAATTGAACTCGAACTCATGAACTTTGTTCAAGGAGTTTCAATTTCATTTTAAACTTTCATATGTAGAGACTGGTATACTTTTAGATAAAATTACTTAAAATCTACAAATTAAAACATTCAAATGTTAATTTGAGTATGAAATATTTGATAATTCGTTTATTATTTATTTATTTATTTCATAATTAATATATGTAAAATATAAAAATTATCATATCATAATTTATATTAACATATCAAATATAAAATATATTTTTTGAGCTTTTTATATTCATATATGATTTTACTAAAATTTTAAAATATATCACATTTAAAATTATCATATAAAAAATAAGAATAACTTCACAAACATTTCATGTGAATTACGACTTTTTCACTTATACCTCGTATAAAATTTTTTTTCTCACGTATAATCTTGTGGTTTACTTCTGTTATCAAAATGAATAATGACATTAAAATCAAATAAATTTTAATAAAATTAGAAAGTTAGTCTCACCTTTTTTATTTTAATCCTGATTATCCCTTTATGATAATAAAAATAAACCATAAGATTTTACATAAAAAAATTTAGACTACAAGATAATATTTGGTATCGTTTTTAAGATCACCATAATAATATAATTATCGAGTCAAGATGATTTTATTACTCGTAGTTTAAAATCATTTTATTTAGTTAACAATTATTAATTCGTACAAATAAAAATGATTGTATTTGATATTATTAAAAATTAAATATTATTTTATTTAAAAGTACGAAAATAATCATCTTTATTATAATAGTTATATAAGTTAATAATTTAAATATTATTTTAAAAATAATTCATAAAATATAGTAATATTATATTATATTTTATAATAAATATAATTAAATTAATAAATTAATAAATATTTTTATTAATTAAGTAAATTAATTTTTATAATATAAATGATGTAAAAAAGCATTTGGATTAAAAAATAAAACTAATCTATTGAAATTATAATAACAAAACAAAGACATTATATTATATATTAAACATTAGAAAAATTAAAAAATACACAAATTATTTTTAAATATATTATAATGAATATTAATTTGAAAATATAAAATAATTATAATTTTAAGAGATATCAAAATTTGAATTCACATATTAAATAAATAATATTAATTATTTATTAATTTTACTCCATGATAAAAGTTTTTCATTTATTTGGTAAGAATTAAATATTTTTTAAGATAATGATTTAATTATTATCAATAATTTAAAATTATTATCACATAAAATTATTAAATATTTATCAAATACAATGATGTAATTATTATAAATAAATTATTATAATTTTTTAAATGATCATCCTATTACGAATATTATCAGGTGAAAAAGTCACAACACGCGGTGCATGTACTTTAAAAAGTAATACAAAATTTAGAAGTGTAAAGGCATGCTACGCCATAAGGAGGCGCGTGGAATGCGAAAAGAATGAAAGCTCTTTTAATGCAGACGTAGTTTGACGAGGATTATGTTGCAGAAGACAATATGAAGGCGACCAGAAACTTCCAAAAAGAAAAAAGAAAAAAAGGGTTCTTTGTTAGAAACGAGAGACTACTTTTCCACATGGTCTTAAAAGATCTGGTTGGTTTTCTACGGGTCAAAGGCAGTGGCGTAGCTGTGGGCACGCATGTAATGTAATGCTTTGGGAGCCTTAGCGATAGCTTTGAAGAGGTGCAACTCTACATTTTTGGAGTTGGGGGGAAAGGGTCCAAGTCTTACCGCAAAAGGCTTGCTGAGATGGGTTTTGGGTGCCTTAGCCCTTCTTTTGAATGGTATTTACAGGAAAGTCAAAATGAAAGTGGAAGCTCTTAGCCCAAAAGAACCAAAAGTAACCTTACTCATATCACTTTGGAGTAGCACTTCTTTTTCTTTTTTAAGATGCAAACACAAAGTAGTAAAAATAAAAACAAAAAGTTGCACGTTAATCATATAATTTTCTCTTTGCCAAGAAAGAGCATGTAGTTTTCTTTTCTGGCAAAAAAAAAGAATATAATTTTCTAGTTCCCTTGGATAGTATCCTAGGCACTCTCTTATCTGTTTTCCCAGTAAGCAAACAAAAAGAACAGTGGCATTATCGTGATTATCAAACGAAGTATTAAATTCATCTATATATTGATTTGGATATATAGTTACAGCTAATTATGCCTTAATCTAAGTTAAAAACTGAAACTTTTTTCAGTATAAATTAGGTCACAATTTATAATAAAAAAAATTATAGATGTTAAGATTTTAATTTTAGACTTAATGAATGTCATTTTTTAAAATTAATTATATGAACTATCTTAACTAAGCTATTGGATTCTTAAAAACTGAAACTTTGATAACATAAGCAATGTGCATTTCGCGGCTGCTTCCAGTGAACATTTATATAAGATGGCATGTACATAAACTACAATGTTTTGTACTACTTCATTACTTCTGAAAGTTCCATCCCATGTTTATGGCATGTACAAAGTCTATTTGAGACCTTGTCCGGCTTCAGCTAACTATTATTGTTTTTTTAGATAGAAAGAAAAAGGTTTGAGCTGACTCCGTCTACCATATGCATTGCATCATTATAATGATATACATCAGCAAAGTCACATTTACCATATGTACACATAATCTACAAGAAACCAAATCCAACAAGCGTTCAGATTTTGTTTTATACCATGGCATAATTATCATGAGTTGCAAGATTCTGTGCCCTAAATCATGACGGATACCTGCAAGTTGGGAATTTTTTTATGCTTTCTTTGTCTTTAAGGGGGAAGAGAGGGATGTTCCCCACCACCATCATTGCCATTTCAGCCAACATTCTATTCTACCGTTCCCTACCCGAATTGAATTCCCTTTTCCACTCAATAGCCCACCATGGATTTTTGTTCTTCTCTTTGATTTGTGGGTGTGGTTTGGTGTATAAATCTCTCACGCCTCTTAAAAAGTCTCGGAAATGTTGGCTGCTCTTGTCGATGCTTTAGGAATTCTGTGAATTTTGTTTGGAGACGGTGCGCGGGGTCTTCATTGAAGGAAGATTACGTTGTCTTGTCTCTATGGCCTGTTAGCTGCCTC